CAGGCGGGGGCGGCTGCCCCAGGAACTTTCCAAAACAAGCAGCCTCCTCCAACTGGAACTTTCCATCACTGGAGCTGGCCTAAAAGGTGGATAGTCAGAACTACCGGAAAGACAGGCAGGGCCTAGCTCTGGGCGCTGGGGGCTGGGGGCTCCAAGACTCTGTCTCCAGGCTTCATTCTGAAGGGGGACCACAGAGTGGGAAGCAGACTGGGGGGGGGGGGTTTTCCAAAGCTGGAGGGAACTCACAGAAAAAAAGATCTCACTGACTGCAAATGAAAATAAAAATACAAACATACAGGGGACCAGCAGTTGGCATAATGGCTAGGTCGCTGGACTCCCATGTAGCCGATTGTGGTTCGAGTCCCGAACCCAGTGGCTTAAACTCATATTGGGCGCAGGTACATGCATGCCCAAGATCCCGAGAGGAGAATGAAGGAGAAGGGATTGCAGCGTGGCCGTCCCCCCTGGGAGGTGATTTCTCACTCTCTGTCTCTCTGTCTCTCTGTCTTTCTGGTGAGCGCATGCGCCCTATAGCAAAAACCTCTCCAATAAATAACCATAGGGACTAGCAAATGGCAAAACAGATACATGACTGGACTCCCACGTAATCGACTGCAGACCCGGTGGCTTAAAACACGCTAGGTGCATGCGCATGCGTGCCCAAAATCCCAAGAGGAGGATGGAAGAGGGGATTGTCACGGGGCTATCCCGCCTGGGGGGTGATTCCTCACTTAAAACCTCTCTCTCTGACTCTCTAGTGAGCTCACATACTCTACAGTCAGGGCTCAAAATAAAAATAAATATAAATAAAAGGACCAGTAGATGCTGTAACAGTTACATCCCTGGGCTCCCACATAGTCGACAACTTTTCAAGCCCAGGCTCCATAGTTGAAAACTCAAGGCGGAGAACCAGTAGTTGGCGTAATGGCCATGTCGCTGGACTCCCATGTAGCTGACCGTGGTTTGAGTCCTGGACCCGGTGGCTTAGACTCAAGCCGGGCGCGTGAGAGTGCGTGCCCGAGAGGAGAATGGAGGAGAAGGGATTGTGGCATGGCCATCCCCCCTGGGGGGTGATTTCTCACTTTCTGTCTGTCTCTCTCTGTCTTTCTGGCAAGCACACGCACCCTATAGCAAAAACCTTCCCCCTCCCCCCAAAAAAAGAGAAAGTAAAACTCAAGATGGATCAGACCGGCAGGTGGCATGGTGGTTAAGTGTGTTAAGTTCCCACACAGCTAACTATGGTTCAAGCCCTAGACCTGGCAGCTTGCTTCTCTCTCTCACTCTGTCGCTCTCTGGTCAAATTAAAATCAAGTTAAATAAAATAATTCTTTTAAGGGGACCAGCAGGTGGCATGGTGGCTAAGGTACCGGACACTCCCACATGGCCGACCATGGTTCAAGTCCTGGACTTGGTGGCTTGCTTTCTCACTTTCTCTCTCTGGTCAAATTAAAATAAATGAATGAATACATAAAATAAAATCTTTTATAAAATTCCATTTAGAAAAGAAAAAGAAAAAAAAATTTGCTCGGCTTTTTGCTGGATCATAATTATTTTCTTTTTCCCAGGCAAAGCAGAGAACACAGAACCCTTTCCTAGAAAGGAAACCATAAACCTAGGAAGGTCATCGCATGGCTCTTCGAGGTCCTCATTCCAGAGGGATTTAAGCCTGTTCCCTAGAGGAATAAATAGTTCAGAAAGAGCCCAGGAAGAATCAGAGCAGACAGGCTTTACCGGGAGCCCATCTCAGACGGATCAATAGATCACATTTGAGGGAACCAGCAGTTAGCGTAATGGCTATGTCACTGGTCTCCCATGTAGTCAACCGTGGTTCGCGTCCCGGACCCGGTGGCTTAAAACTCACGCCGGGCACGTGTGCGTGCGTGCCCAAGATTCCGAGAGGAGAATGGAGGAGAAGGGATTGCGGCGTGACCATCCCCCCGGGGGGTGATTTCTTGCTTTCTGTCTCTCTGTCTCTCTCTGTTTGTCTGGCAAGCGCACGTGCAACCCTCACAAAAAAAAAAAAAAAAAAAAAAAATCACAGTTGGGTCCAGCAGGTGGCGTGGTGGTTAAGGCTGCTGGACTCCTACATGGCCTACTGCGGTTCGAGTCCGGGACTTGATGGCTCACTTTCTCACTTACTCTCTCTTACTCTGTCCCTCTCTGGTAAGATTCAAATCAATAAGTAAATAGGTCCCCACTCTGTCCTTTCTAGAAGCTCAGCAGGGGAGGTGGGGGGATGGGAGAGCTGACAGATGGCGTGGTGGCTAAGGTGTTGGGCTGCTACATGGCTGAGCATAGTTTGAGTCCCAGACCTGGCAGCTTGTTTTCTCACTCTGTATCTCTCTGGTCCAATAAAATTAATGAATTAAATAATAACATAACTAGAAAAAGTAAAATGAAATTGTAAAAAAAAAAGCAGCAGCAGCAGCTCAGGACCAGCAGATGGCGTCATGGCTATGTCGCTGGACTCCCATGGAGTCGACTGCAGTTCGAGTC